GGAAAGGCAACACTAAGAGAGTTCTTCCCAAACCCCACTTTGGGGATGCTCTGTGATGAAAAGCAGGTAAAGCATTTAATAAATATGCAAGTAGAGGAGAGGAAAGCCTCAAGGAGAGGCTTAGGGGTTAGTACTGCTCATCTACTCTCCGAGTTTACTATGAAACAGCCCCTCCAGACCTTCTTTGTACATGATTGGGAAAAACCCTGCTTTAAATGAAGCATTCTGCTGCCATTACCTGTACCCTGAGCCTGAGAATATAACTTTATTGAGGAAAAATTAATGAGGAAACAACAAGTGTTTACTTTTTGAAAAAGCAGCATGTGTATACATGCTTATCTTTATAAGATGTGGGTAACCCCATGCTGATGTAGCACTGTGTTTTGTTAAAGGGAGCCCAGTAAGACATCAGTCATGACAAAAAATTGTTGCTCTGTTGACTGACATCCAAATCAGATTCTCAGAGGTGAAGCAGCCAAAGTGCTTTGAGCAGTACCTGCGGCATAGAGAGGTATATTGTGTGTCACTGATACTGAACAGATAACATGGGGTGGGAGAAGCACCCATGTTATGAAGGAAGTGCCATTCCTATGCTACAGGTGCTCAAAATGCTTCAAAAGGAAATGACATTTAATAACATACACAACAGAGTTAAACATATATTTTTCTCCTTTGCTGATAGATTCCCAGCAATATTAAGCATTGTTTTGCACACTTTGTAAACAGTGGCTTGACATACAAATATAAAAGAGCCTACCCAACCACCCAGCCTGGTTATATGACATCCATGGGCACTAAGGTTCAGAGACAGTGCACTAAACATGTTATTTGTTGGTTTGTGTATCAAAATGTTTCTAACCTTCCTTCAATTTATGGTACTAGGGCAGTTTATAAAATGCAATAACATTTGGAACTGTAACAAAACGAGATATAACACTGGCAGTTACTCCATCCAGTTTCATAAACTGAATTAAAACATATAAGAAAACAAGTAGATTTTGAGCTCATGCTGGTAATGTCAGCACTTGTCCATTTTCCATGAGGAGGCTGCCCCATAATTGAGGTGCCACAGCAAGGAAGTCTCACTTTTGTTTTCTCATAATAGACCATGGGTTTTTTGAAAAACGTCTCCCCTGAAGCTCATAATGCACCAGCAGACAAATGGAGGGAGAGGCTTTGGATTGGCTTCAAACACAGCTGCCTCAAGGTGTTTCCTAGCCTGAGGCAGAGCAGCAAAAGGCAGTCTCAGATCAGGGAACAACTGTAGCTAGTCAAGTTATTTTGGCGTCCACAGTGGGAAATCCTGCAAACACGCTCTGCCAGTAAAAAAATAGAACCACAACTAATTAAATGACTCGCCATTGGCTCCCTTTTCGTGACACCCAAAATCAAGTGACTGAGGTGCCCACCTCACGCTTGCCCCAAGATGTTTAGAGATTTCTGAGTAAGCACCCATGGCTTGAACTGGGCTTGGAGGCAAGCAAGTCGCCAGTGCAGTTCTTTTAGAAATGGTGTGGTGTTACCCACTCCCCAGACCCCTATTCTGCACTAACTGAAGTGTCTGAATCCTCTCCGAAGGCAGCCGCAGGTATAATGCATTGCAGTGGTCCACTCAGATGGTCATCAGAGCTTGAATCCCCATGGCCAGACTACCCCTCTACAGGAAGGATTGCTGGCACACCAGATGGAGCTGGTAACAGAGTCTGAACACCCCATCCCAGGGTGCAAGAACCACGTACCCGCATCAGGATTCAGATCCTCTGATGATGCCACTCACGTGCAGCAGCTTCATATAAGTGTTAAGAAGCATGGAGATAAGACTCCAGTGCATTAATGCTATGCAGTCGAGCCCAAGTTTCTCCCTATACCACTTTTCATACTGAATGTGTATAGGCGTGCCTCCTGCACCCAACCCACCAAGGGCAAAATCCCATAGTCAGTAGCACCAGAAGTGATGGAGCGGTCAGAGATAATCGATGGGGTCACACCCCCTGTTCCATCTCTCTCCTGGCAGATGTCATCCCTCAGAGCAGCCAAACGCAAGCCTGAAGACAGATTGAAATTGCTGAGAATGGACATAAAGACACCCTTGCATACACAGAACTAGCACGTGAAGTTCTGCTGTGCTGTGATGGGGGCAGCCGATAGCTGCTGCCTTGGTGGTACAGGGAGGGCTCCTTTGCTGAGCCCATTCTGCCAGGCCTGCTGTACCCACTCTTGGGAAGTGTGAGCATGGAGCCGTGGCACATGTCCATTTACTATGTTTGGGAGGATCTTAGATGCTGCTGGTCTGGGGGGATGGGGCAGTCGAGCAATGGGGGCTTAGCTGGCTACAGACTTTCCCAGCCCTTTGAAGCTAGGAAGGGCCAGGGACAGCGCAGAGATGCAGGTCGTGATCACAGCCCACCTCCTTTCATTCCAAAACTGCTCTTTAATGAGGAGCATTCTAAGACAGAAGAGCTAATGAAGCATATGTTGACTTAAATCCTGATCAGAAGTCTTGCTGGTGCAGTCCACTGAAAATACTTATTGTATAAATTTATTTTTGAAATTGGCATTTTTAATTATTTTGTAAATTCTGATTTCTTTCCAGGGCAAGCATTTGTTCTTCATCCACACCTGAATTTATTTTTTTTCCTCCATTTCCTGGCTTAGAATTGCTATCTGATCAAACCATATTTTAAAATATATGTATTTATAGTCAGATGGGAGAGAAGGTTGCAGTCAAAAGTATGATTTTTCTCCCTGCAAATGTAAGAAAATTGAGGTCTTTTTTTAATATTGCCTTATCAGTTTCTCTTTTATTATTATTACTGATGACTTCATTCAGTTTGAATTCAATGCTTCGGTTTCTTTGGGGTAAACTAATAGATTATGTATGCGATATTTGCCTGGCCCTGATTGAATTCATCTGGTGAGTCTGAATGTGGTTCGTATATTCATGTAATTGTCAGGAGCCAAGCTGAAATTCAGAGCTGTTAAATGATTGGGCATCACAATCATTTCACATTCTTTGGAACTTGAACTACTTTTTTCTCTTCTGCTGCTCAGTTCATATTTCTCCCCTTAGTTAGACTTAACTCTTTTAAAAGCCAGGAGTTTTATCTGTATTGATGTAGACAGTTACTGAGAAAAACTCCTCAAAGACTGTGTCTGATATTTTATGTGTAAGGGAAAAATGGGGGAATACTGCCAAGGTTCACCTTTTTTACCCAAATTACCCCTCCCTCCCCCCCACACACATGAACACGCACACATCCTGTCAGAATTATCTTGCTCTTATTTTAGTGTGGGACTTTTGCAGCTCTGACCTGCAGTTAAATTGTGGGTGATTTCTTGATGAAAGGTCACTACGTGCATTCTAAAGCATACAGCCGCTTGATTTTTATAGAGCTCCTAGCATTCAAGAATGTGGGCCAGGTTAAGCTTGCAATTACCCTGCAGACGATATCTTAGGAGAGGTTTGCGGCACTGCCAAAAATTGCCAGCATTACTGCGAGATCATTATATTTTTCAGACAGCCTTTCCACTAAGGACAGCTTCTCACATAACTTGGTGAACGAAGCAGTCAGTCTGGTGTGTGAAACCTAAGATATGGGCTTTTAACAAGCAAAATTAAATGAAGAGCTGTGCGCTGCAAAAGCATGGTCAGCAATGTTTAGAGTCCTAGAAATTTCCCAGACAGAGGAAACTTCAGCTTGGAAGTGCTATGCAGCCAATGCAGGTGGGCCAGAACTGGACTATACTTTGGACCTTCTGGCCTCAGTTATTAATTTGGCTATTAATTTTGCACAAGCTGCAGCTTCTGAGCAGTCTTCAAGGACAGCCCCATGTAAAGGGCATTGGGGTAATCTAGTTTAGAGATTACCAGATCATAGCCTATTTACTGAAGCCAGACCATCCCTGTCTAGATGGGAGGGTACTTGGATCACCACCCAGAGTTGGTAGAAGGCACTCCCTGCTACTGAGGCCACTGGAGCCTATAGTGGCAAAGATGGTTCAGGACCTCCAAACTATGGACCTGCTCCTTCAATGAAATCGCAGATAATCCACAATACCTTTCAGTTGGTCAGAGGAATCCCCACCACAGTCTTTTCTGGATTGAAAAGATTTGCTAGCCATCACCCAGTCCTTTGTTGCAACCAGGCAGAGAGAAGTGACAGTGGCACGCATTTGGTTCTCTCTGTGCTCCTGCTCCAACAAAGCCCCACCTAGACACATCACATTGTACAAAAATGTTGGAATGGCTGGAATTTTGCTGTTGTGTGTTGCGCTGTGAAACAGATAATCTAGCATTTTATTAAACTGTATTATGTACATTTGAGTGCTTTGTTGCAATGTGTTTGCATGGTATGTTTTCTGGCATTTTGTTCCCATCATTTCCTTATGTTATCCCCCCAACAAGGCCTCTTTTAGCCTGCACAACCATTATTCCCTCTTCTTTGACATATAATCCCTACATTTGGGCAGATGTAGGAAATGTATATGGCATCCATAAATGTCACTGTGAATCAAATTAATTTAATATCCTTATATTTAAACCCACAGGAGACAGGGAATATAAATCTTAGCCAACTAAGAGGACTCATTTTTTCCTCCCTTTTGCTTCATGCATATAATGCAAACATAACATGATTGTAATTTAGAGGTGCCACAGATCATAGGCTGCAAACATCACTTCTCAAACTACCAGCCAAGCCTCAGCCCTTTAAAAAAAACTTCCTGCAGAATTTAATTGTGGACAAGATTGGTTAGGTGAAAGTATAATTGTACAAGCAGGCACTGCATGTGTATGCAGTGATTTTTCATGTTTCTGAGTAAGAGTGTATATCTGTGTGTGAAGTCATGGCTTGGAAAGATCTAGGGAGACAATCTGGGATTTCTAAAACTAGAGCTTTCTCTAAAACCGAAGCTAAAAAGTCCCCCCACCCCTTGGTTGGAAGCATTCTCTGACATGTGTGAACCATTCAACATTATGCTATTCTTCCTCCTTTATCCAGTGACCATCCAGCTATAGGAACGGCAGATCGCATCCAGAAGCTACGAAAAGAATACCATCAGGCAAGGCGAGAAGGCTTACCTTTCTATGAAGAAGAAGAAGGCAGAGGAAGACGTACAGATTATGATCAGCACTGGGTAGGCACTCAACCAAGGTCCAAACAATATGCATGCACCAATCACCAAAAGGGAGCACAAGGAACTGGCTGTGTTTCTCAGATAGTTAACCGATAAGGATGTGTAGAGATGGAATAGCTGTTGTTCCTGTGGTTCAGTGTTATACTAGAACGCTCTTCCAGTTATTAGGTGATGTCAGATGGGTCCAGGTAAAGGGAGAATATGGGCAACCACCAGATATCGGCTATGGGCATTCTTTTTCTCTCAGCAGTAACAGGGTTTTTTCCCCACCTTTGATGTTTTAAAAATGCACTAAACTACCACATGTTGCTACATGTATTTATAAAAATAAATAATAGCCTTTGATTGACTTAGGAGCTGCTAAACTCTCAGAGACTTTCCAGGCAAAATTGGCCCATGGTGCCTCCCTGAGAATGTAGGTAAAATGTTCTGCACCTTGTCCTGGCATCAGTCACCTTGTTCCAGATTTCAGTGGCTATCACAAAACTGTCACAAGAGCAGAGACACTTGCAATTGTTATAATTTTTTCCTAATTTTTATGGCTCCCGATGATTAAAGGTCTACAGATACCCTCAGAGCAATACCCTGGGGCCTTCTGTAGCTTACACTGAAGCACATGCCCAAACTGAAGTTGATTTAATGTTAAGAGTGTGCCAGCTGTTCTCACAGCAATCCTCTGACAAGAACCGTAGGGTTTAGGGATCAAGATATTCCCTAAAAAACCCCCAGCTACTTAATGCTCTGCAGGTTTTAATCTTCTTTAAGGTTCTTCAAAGCTGTTTGTTGTCCCTCTTAGCAGCCACTGTGCTTCTATTTAAATAAAGCACATTTTTCTCATGCTGGAGATAATGTCCAGTCCCAACGAGTCAATGAGATTCAGCTATATGACTTCACAAAGGCAATTTAGAGTGACGATATTGTGTTATCCTCATTCTGAAGGGGTATTGAGGAGAAAGGAACCACTGCAAATTATTTATTGTGTTCATAGACCTTCCGCTAAATCAATTTCATGCAATTTTTGAGAACAGTCTTTTCTTTTCTGTTTTATCCCCATTCTCTCTTCACTTCCATGCACAGTTGTGGAAGCAGACACCTTCCTGTGCCCTCCAGCTGTTACCCACTTTTGGAGAGCAGAGCATATGTGTGCCTTCCCTGGACCCCCTAAGCCGAATATGTTCATCCATTGTCACTACTGAAATACAACTCAGCTGCCTGTGTTTTTATATGTTTGGAATGAGGCAAGAGGGCACCTTAATGTTGTTTCATTTTGTCTCTATAGCTGGAGCTCTCTGAGCAGTTTACAGCATCTATATAAAATATAAACAATGTTAAAAGCATCATTAACATTTTTCATACAAAAAGTTACAATTGCTTATACAGATTAATCAGACAACCTATTTAAGCAGATGATAAATTCCCAGTAGAATAATTAAATGCCCTGTGATAGAGGGCAATCTTAACCTGGCATCCAAAGGATATTCAAGTTGGAACCAGGGAAGACCTCAGTGGTAAGCTTGTTATATAACTAGGGGGCCACTACTGAAAAGGCCCTTCTCCTTTCATCTTAGGGAGTGCGATGTCATCAGCCAGCCTGCATCTACAGTGAAATTTTCACTAATATTCAGGCAAATCCAGACAGTTTCAGCCGAAGCTGAACCAGTGTGTAATTTTGTATGGCATTAACAAGGAGCAAGTGCTCCCTGAAAATTCTTTGTTTTTAGATCTGGAATCTTCTATTATCTCTCTTGCAATGGTGTTTTTTTCTGATATTTTTGTACAATATTCATCTTATTCTAGAGTTTTGAATTTTCTTTGCTGAAATAGTATGCTCAGGTGATGGTTTTATTGAAATTTAGAAGCACTGGATCAGCCACTGAAGCTATGTTAATCAAATGGGCAAACAAGCTGCACCATAGCAGAACTACATCCACAATTAGAGTCCCCAAAATTCTGCACTCTCAAGGCCTGGACTGTGAATTCTCTTATGGGACAGTTCTCAAAATCCAGCCTTCTTTTTCATGACGTTTTCATTGGTCCTAGTAGAAAGAGTGCTGTGGGGATGTCATCTTAGTAAATCATTTAACATATAAAGCAGCCTGATTTGGCAAAATCACACAGTTTTAGTGCTTAGCTTGGTGGGGGAGAGGTTTGAATAATACACCTGTGCTCCTAAGGCAGATATTTAAAGAACAATTGATATCCTGGAAAATAATCCAGACCTGGGCAGTGAAGCTTTGGGAGCTGGCTGAGGATTTCAGTCTTATCAATCCTTGAAGGGCTTTATTACCTTCTGAGTATGGCCCCATAGAGTCTCCAGAGCTTCACAAAGGTCCCTTCTGGGTAATCCACTCTAAGCCGTTTCTATTAGGTGTAATACCCTAAGATTACTGATGCCCAAGGCTGCATGTTTTGTTCAAGGGAAGAAGTTGTTAATCAAAGCACCCAAGCTAGCTATAAAGCTCTCAGTCTCTCTGATTAATATCGCACACCTCAAGATTGTTTCCAATTCTCATTCAAATGGATTTACGCCAACATTTATTCTACAGCTTTAACACGGGAGGGGAGGCAAGAGACAACAACTGTACTGGGAAGTTCTTTCTTCCGATGTTTAGGTGCTTCCAGAGTGCTGTTCTTCATTGCACAGTTTCTCTTAACCTTCAGACTGGTTCCTTGATTCGGGAATGTGCCATATCACATGTAGGAGGAATGCAGCACACCATGAAACAAGCTTGCCCTGGAAAGGGAAAGCCTTTCTCGATTGCCTTCTTTTAATTTTTGCCTGCCTTGCATCTCAAGCCCCTTCCCTTAGCCAGGGCCTCTCAGGAATTGTGGTCTTTGTGCGCAATCATAAGGCTATAGGGGAATTTTGTTTCAGTCCGTTCAACATCAGAACTTGCTTGATTTGCACCTCCAGAATGTGATTGCATTTTTCATGGAAACTTCTTATATTTCTAAGCTTGGGATCATATTTGCAATATGCAATTGCTCACAAAAGGTGCACTTTAAAAATGTGCATTTGAGAAGAACTGATTTTTACACTTCAGTCAATGGTGGGTGACTGCAGGGGAGAATAAATTCAGGTGTGTGCTTGAAAAGCTTCTTGTTCTTGCAACTTTAAAAGCCTGCTTATGGGAACAGGGCAGCTTCAAGGTGGAACTTGGAGAACCTTGCCGAGCTCAAGCCCCATTGATTCTTCCATCACCACTCAGTAGGGATGTCACTGAAGCTTGCCAGATTGAATTCTGCAGTGATGCTAAAAAAAAGTGGGGGGGGGGGGAGTCCCTAGAACTCTTTCCCAGCTCAAATTTAAATGTGAGCTGTTGAAGGGCCTGTCACTTCATATGAACAAAGCTGGGAGCAAAAGCTGACCTCCACTCAGTTGTTCTGCACAGTGGATGGGCTTCTTCAAGGGACAATTCCTCAAATCAGCCACTGGTCGAAAGCTGCAGTGGAGACATTTTCCAGAAACCTGCATTTTAGAGCTGCCCCTGTGAAAACTGAGGTTAGAGACCAAAAGCACACCCAACAATCAACTCCGAGGTAAGAGGACTTCCTGTGGTGGTAGACTTTTGGCCTTGATCCCCAGTTGTCCCAGGAGCAGCTCTGAAAGAGCAGCCATCAGAGCAAGGGAAGCATTCTCTGTGGCTTTGTTCAGGAAGCTCATTTTAGAGATGACTTCAGAGAAGGATGAAGTGCAAAACCCAATCCTCTCACAGTTCCCTAGCATCCTACAACACCTCTACCTGGGATCTCCCTGTCCAGGGCTGCTTTTCTCAGGGGCAACTCTAAAATAAATCTTCCTGCTAAAGTGAGAGGCATCTGCTGCTTTGCTCAAGGGCTGCATCTTGACCCTTTGCTACAGCAACTTCTCAGAAAAATGCAGAGAACTGAGCACTGTTGGTGCACTTCTTGTCTGGCACACAGCCTTTCCTGGTTGATGCCTCCACTGTCTCCTTTTCTCCCTCCTGCTGTCCAACCCCAGTTTTGGGGGCTCCAATTGGCAGTGAGTCACCTGCCAACACAGACCTGCTGTTCCAGACTAGTTTTCATAGAGTGTCATCATCCGATGTTATTTCATTTGCATGCTGTTTTCAATGTAAATATTGTCTGGTAGAATTTCCTTCTGTATGAATAAGGAACTCCATGTTGGAGCAAAAGTCTCCCTGTGTTGGAAAAGACATGCCAGTGATTTGTACAACTAAAAGTTGTCATCTCCCAAGTATGTCTACTGGTTTTTCCAGAAGAGATGTCTCAGCACACGTTGGCACACATCTGTGCATATATGTAACAGAAAGCTTTGTAACTGGAGCAACCTCCTCCAAACCAGCACTCTCCAAATGTGCTGGGGTGCAACTCCAGCCAGTTTCCCAAGAATACTGGGAGTCATACTTTATCAAATCTGGAAAGAGATGGTACAAAGAAACCTGGACTGGGAAGTAGGATTCAGTGTGGGTGAAGCCTGGGAGTGTGGATGTGGGGATTTGGGGTGTTGGACTGGCATCTGTGCCTTTGCTCCCCTACATGCCCCCCAGTTTAAGCTCCCTCTTGTGAACAGGCATAAACACAACATGTGGCATTAGCAGTACAGGAAAAGAAAACAGAGCTTCCATGAAACGGGCAGAACAAAAGTGCTACCGTCCTGCTGCTTTTGAAGAGACACCTGTCTTATTACAAGCAAATTCCTTCTTTGTTCCTTCTGATAACATGTTCTTCTAATAAAATATTCCTAGACTGAAGGTCCAGTTTGAGTAATAGTGGAGAACATAAAATTCCTACACATTAAAAAAAATCCTTGCTTAATGGGGGTGCATTCAACTACTACTTTTCTCCTTGACATTTAAATTCTTTTGTGCAAGAGTTGGGTTGGGATGTTGATATTGTGATAGTGTACAGTCATCCAACCCCCCCAGCTGCAGTCTGTGACCAGTTTTAACACAGGTTCTTCTGTTTTCATACCCAACACTTCATTCTTCTTGACACATTTCCTGCCTGCCTGGACT